GGCTTGGCTTTGGCTTCAGGCCTAGCGCCAAAACCAGAGCTAAGCCACTGCATACCCCAGGCTGATGACCAGAATTCAAGATGAGGCTTTTTTTCCCCATGCTGACGGGGGGTGGGGGGGGGGTGGGCAGGGAGGGGCTGCTTTGTCTTGGATTTGAGTAAATACAGTAGTTAACTCTGTTTTTTAAAAGCTAAAGAGCATGGTCCTGGTTGAGATGCATATTGTGTTGTAACTCATTTTGGTGGGGTCTGATAAGACACATGTCACTTTATTAGATATCTTTAGTTACAGCAGAAAAATTGCCTCTGTTTGTAATGGAAAACTGATGATATGACAATGTGGGTTCTTACTTGAAGTGTAACTTCAGAGCTACAACTGAAAGTAGTTTTTCCTGCTCCTATTCCATGTGCATCTGATGATCACTAACAAGTTGTTTTGTCCTTTCTGTACTTGTTATTTAGCAGTCAACTAAACTCATTACCTAGGGCATGGCTGCTTTGCATTTCCAAAGCAAAGCAGTGAGTTTGCACCATAGCTTTTACCTTCTTTCCTGTCCTCTACAGTTTCTGGGCACAACACTTAATTTCTCCTTTTGGCTTTCCATCCATTAGCTTGTCTGTTTTCACTTTCTTGCCTTTAGAAGAATGCCTATACTGTGATGCAAAGAATATATTCTAAAAGGAAATGGCATTTAATGGTAATTCTTGTATTATGATGTTACTTTTAAGACAGAACGATTTTAATGGTCTGATACGTAACTCTTTAAAGAGACTCTTAAGACATTTCTCTTTCAAAATAACAGCCATCTTTCATTGTTCTTTGTTAGCATTTATATTTGAAATAAACAAGACAAAAACCTTAATCTTTTATTCTGTACATGGTCAGCTGAACTCTCCTGCCTGTCCCTCTTATTTTGAAAGTTCCCTGTTGATAGTATTCCATGGGTAGGTCAATAATCTTTAGGTTTATTTTACTTAAATCTGGGGCTGCTTCCATCTTCGAATTACTTTGCTCAATATATTTGTGGTGCTGTCTCATTTCAACAACTTTGGTTCCTTGAGCCCAGTTATTCTGGGATGCGTCATTGGCCCAACTTCTTGAAAACGGACTACTGCTGCTTCTCCAGTGCTCTTGTGTGAAAGTAGTGTCAGGCCCTAAAGAATTAGGAGGCTACTGGTATGTATGCTTATATGAAAGCTAGCTATTCAACATCCTGTTTTACTTGTTTTCTATTCTTTTAGGTTGCCATGAAGATGTAATTAAAATTGTGGAACTAGCCTGCAAACACAATCTTTGCATAATACCATTTGGTGGTAAGTATTATACCTTTCTAAACAGATACGTAACTTTCTTATTGAACACTTACTTTATCTTTATAAATTCATCTTAAGTGGCTAGTGTTGCATGAGGTCAGTCTAGTAAATCAGTCACCTCCACATGTATAATTCAACCAGTTAGATTTGTTGAATGTATGTTTACAAAGTGCTGTTTAAGAACCAATCTTATATCAAAACTTTGGTGTAGTTAATTGCAGTTTTGAATGACAGATCCACTGGCATGTACATATACTATGCTCAATTTACTAAAAACTGATGGAAACTTTTTGTGTCTGTCAGTACTTGAGAGTGCTTCTGTGTGTAAGAGAAGCAGTTCTTTTTGAGAGAGTCTTTGCATCCTTTTGTTCTTAGAAGTGCACCAAACTGAAGTACTGCCTTGCTTTGGGAATCTTTAAGACTTAAACAGATCTTGATCTGCATTCAAGACTTTTTTTCTTGGTAATTTTGTCAATGGTGTAAATATGGAGACAGTAGGCAGTTACTGTTTTGATTCATTGTTCTACCTTGTTGGATCATATCTGGCTCAATTCTTAGGCCTCAGCTTAGGTGCCTGAAGTGTGGCGTGCTCAAGGTATGGAATACCTTGGACTATGGCTTTGCAGCTAGGCTTAAAAAAGGTAGACCTGCTGGGATATCCTTTCTGAAAGAAAGTGATATGAACCAGCCCCACTGACTATCCCCACAGAAATGGAGAGGTTTTTTCAGGCCTTGTTTGGAGCAAACAAAAGATGGTTAGTTCAGGTACTGATGCTTTCAAGTTTGCAAAACATTTGCAGTTTGGCCTTGAGGTCCCATCATTTGCATATCTGGTACCTGGGTCTTGACAGTGTATTCCTCTCCAAGTGGGCCAGCATTCTTGAGCAGACTCCTCTCTTTAGGAATTTTTCAGTGCTATGGAAGCTTCTGGCTTTTAATGTCGAGCATCTTATCTAAAACAAGTTCTCAGCTGGGCCTGACATTTTTTGGTTACGTTATTTGTGCTCATCCTGTGACTTCAAGTATGCAAGGATAAAATAAAATTGGGCTATTAGTTTGTGCTGGAGTACTGTCATTGCATTATGCTCTGCCTGGATCTATTGGAGATCAGATCATTCTGCCTTTCTAATTTTCCACTGTTACATGCACCCCAGGAAGGTATGGGGGGGCATGTACCCCTGGCTCTGCACATGGGGTGAGGACAGGCTGCTGCTGTGCGGGTGAAGGTGCAGGTTGAGGCCACAGTGGCATGGGAGTGGAGCTGGGGCAGGGGCTGCCCAGCTGGGGTTGGGTACAGGACTGAGCCGTGGGGAGGGGCTCCCACTGCTACACGCACCCTGGGACGGCATGGG